GTGGGAAGCCCAGGCTGGAGCAAGCTCCTGGCAGGACCTGTGGCCCCGTGGAGAGAGGAGCCCATGCCAGGGCAGGTTTGCTGGCAGAACTGGGGACCCCACACTGGAGCAGTCTGTTCCTGAAGGTCTGCACCCCATGGAAGAGAAGGTCGTGAAGGACTGTCTCCCATGAGAGGGACCCCACGCTGGAGCAGGGGAAGGATGAGAGGAGTCCTCCCCCTGAGGATGAAGAAGCGGCAGAAACACCGCGTGATGAACTGACCGTAACCCCCATTCCCTGTCCCCCTGTGCCACTGAGGGGGGAGGAGGTTGAAGCTGGGAGTGAAGTTGAGCCCAGGAAGATGGGAGGGGGGGGGGGGAGGTGTTTTAAGATTTGATTTTATTTCTCGTTCCTCTACTCTGTTTTCCTTGATAATAAATTAGATGCATTTTCTCTCTAAGTTCGGTCTGTTTTGCTCGTGACGATCATTAGTGAGTGATCTCTCCCTGTCCTTATCTCGACCCACAAGCTTTTTGCTAAACCTTTTCTCCCCTGTCTAGAGAAGGAGGGCAGTAACAGAGCGGCTCTGGTGGGCACCTGGCCCCCAAGCAGGGTCAACCCACCACAGTCTTTTTTGGCGCCCAATGTGGGGCTCGAGAAAATCGAGATAAGGACAGTAATTGGAAGAGGCAACAGGCAAAACATGGCTTGAACATAGGAAGAGAGTGAAATAGTGGTGAAGGGACAAGGGGTGGATTCTGTGTGTAAATTGTCCACTCTTGTTTGGTGTTGTGATGATGTTATTTTGATTTTGGTGTGAGGAATTCTTTTTTCTTTTTCCTTGTTGATGTGATTAGTGTTTGTGAAGTTTTTGTGTTGAATGTGTATTTTAATGATAATTCTTAAGTATGTGATTCACAGAGGCGAAGGGTGGAATGTATTGGGTTTGCATGGCAAGGTTTTGGTGTCGGGGGGGCTACAGGGGTGGCTTCTGTGAGAAGCTTCTGTGGAGCCTGAGTTTCTTATCCCAGCTTCAAGGCCTGTTTATGCATTTTGGTGTTTCGTTATACACCAAAGGAGAAGCATAGGTCAAGAGAAACTTTGAGTATTTTACTACAACAGGCTCAAAGGATGTAAAAAAATATTCTAGAATAAGAGAGAAAACATGAACCATTCACCTTTTGTACTAATGTTCTCCTTTAATTTACAGTCAGTCTGTCTGCAGAGGTGCTTCAAATTTATTCTCTTCAGATGCACCTCAGATTCATAACCACATTAAAGTTTTCTCCGAATAAATAATTAAAATTATAAGATTTTAACAAACAGATGACTAAACATAAATCTGAAAAATCCTCATTAAGTCGATATGCGTGCACTGACATCACATTTGATCTTCTTATGCTGCTGCAGCAATCAAAATCTAAGAGAAATGTTTCAACTCCCAAAGCATTTTGTTTCTATAGTAAGAAAGGTTTGCAATTTACTGTTGTATAGTTGAGCAAAACCTACTTTAAAGAAAACAACCCCTCTAAGATCTATCAGTTAACTCTGTAGCTAGTTTTACAGCACAGTGTCATGTTCCATAGGATTTTCAAGTGCTTTAGGATTCATATTATTTTCTTGGAATTGTAATTTTACTAGAAAACATAGTATTATGTTGAGGATGGTCACATTCAGGACAAATGTAGAAAGCAACAGATTCATTCACACAGAAAGCGATTACAGGACAGCAACTAAGACCTGCAGTAGTATGAGCAAAGACGCAGAATGAGAATCCAGGGCACTGTTTTGGTGGGTCTGTCTGTACGAGAGTGAGACAGGAGCAGTAGACAGAGAAACACCAGGGCAGCACCAGAGAAAGTGATATTTTGTGATTTGGAGTAAAAGACACAACTTGGGCAAAGTCTTAGTTTGAGGACAGTATTTTTGGAGTAGGATCCAAGGAAAATGTTTCTTTAATTCCCTGTGGTGTTCAGGGAAATGTATTCCCCTGTGATAATTTACAGTATTGAAACCAAGAAACGCTTGACTCCATCACGAAGGACAAGTCTCAAGGATCCTATACACAGCTAACTACAATACTCAAAAAAGTAAAAAACCCTATACTAACAGCCATCTCATCTGTACATTATGTTCTTTCACAAAGCTCTAGATGCTTGGGGTGGAGGGGAGATGTTAAATAACAAAGCATGTTTGGTTTCTTGCCACCTACCATGGCCTCTGATGATGACTGCAAGTGTCTCTATACACTCCAAACACAACTCCAAACACATCACTGACTCTCTTCAACACAAGGCCTTCTGGGGGTTCTTTTACCTAAATGTAGAATGTCCTTCTATCTCAGTGTAAATAACCGTATTTATTTATTTGTGCTTATCATCTTTGTGCCATGTGCCTCTTTTACTCTGCTACAAAAATGATGTTCAAGCACTGATTGTCTCCTACATTATTACTTTAAACCTCCTCTCTTTGGTTTCCTTGGATTTCAATGTTCTTTATTCAAGATGTCAAAAGCATTTTAGATGGCAAAACTCGTTTGTCCTTCTGCTGTCCAAGCAAACATCCAGTTCATCCTCTGCTATATTCAAATCTAATTCAGTGCAAGTTCCCTGGCCCAAGTCCTTTCCAAATAAATTTAAGCAACTAACTGAGGTACCTGAATGAACAGAGCAGGCCACATTATCTTTGCCAGAGCTTAAGAAAATAATTTTAACTGCTCTTCCTGCTGCTGAGGAAAGAACTGACATTTGTGGATTAGCAGCTGTATGACAGCCCTCAAACAGCAGCAGATGCTTTTCCCATCCCTAGAATCCACTAGTGAGAGCAACAGCTGCAAGCTCTCCCTTTGACTTTTCATCGCAAGTCTTCCTATTCCCTAACTTTTCTTCCCTCTTCTCATGGTAGGAGAAACGTGGTCTTGTCACCAACCATGGAGCAGAAAAATTATGAGGTTTTGCACCTCTTATTAGCCACAAGCTAGCTCTGACAGAGTACACTGATAATCCACATTACGACTAAATACAACCCTGGTCATGCAAGCAGACTTCAGTCCCTAGAATTGTTTACAAATCACAGTTAGATTTCCCTCAGACAGGATGGTGGTCTGATCCTATTAGCAAAGCAGGATGTTGCATATACCAGTACCTTACACCACTTTTTCAGAACTTTAGCTGAGCATGTTAATATATTCTCTATAAAGACTGTATTATTTTTCTCCTGCATAGTAACTCCTCAGAACAGAAAGCAACTCCTAATTTCAAAAACATTTTCACTTAACTCCTCTTTTTTTGCTCCTAATTTACAAACAGGCTTTGTACATCACAAAGATCTATTTAAGAATAAATCATAAGTTACCTTATCTCTAGGCTGCTGATTCCATTCACTGGCTTTGTGTATTTTAATGACAGTCTAAGAATAAGAAACAGATTTTTAATGTTAGAGTAGTCAGCTTTAATTAGATCATTGTGACATTTCAATCGGAGGGAATATTCTAAATCAATAGGCAATTACAAAAGTCATATAGCAAAGGTTCAGTACACAGAAAAATATGACAAAATATTTCTAGAGGGTTTTTCTTTACCCAAGAGCAGGTGCTTCAAAGTAAAGGAAAACAGAGATCATGTTTCATTAATGTACCTCCAGCTGAATTACTACCTAGTAACTGGCAATACTCCCTTTCAAGGGAATTTTACAATGAAATGATGATCTCATTAATGCCAGTGGAGATTTCTGTGATTGTGAGATCCAGCACAGGGAAACCTGTTTGGACCAAATATAAACAAACAAGGAAGTAAGGAATTTAAAAGAAAAAAAATTGTGAAAATAAGAGGCTGCATCTGAACAATTTTTGTGGTTTTGACTCAATCTTTTTCTTCTAAGAATATCCAATTTAGTATTTTTTATTTTGGATGCTTGAGAAGAAGAAAATTAAATTAGTATTAACTTGACATTGCACCATTTCTGATTAGTTTTCAGAATCATATGTATTATGATAGGAAATTTCTTGTGCTACTCACGTTGTGTTGATGTCTGAGCAGTCAGAGGATGAAAGATCCACATTCTGCCTTACAAATGTTGCATTTGTCAAATCTATAAAAACCGAACTGTTGGCTTTAAGGCTGAAATTACTAGCATAAAAAAGGATGCATATATTATTTCCAGTGGTCACATTCAGAGGAGGATATGATAAAGTGTCTTCTTCCTCAGTGGCCATTAATTGTCGTCTTAATTTCCCCACTACATCAGTTCTTCGAGAAATCTGGAATAATAGCACATTAACAATTCATCTCCTGTGTAAGAGATAATATCAACTGAACACAGACCTTCACCATTCTGTACCATGAGCATCCATCCTTCTTAAATTCTCAGTCAACCTCAATATTTAATATTGTCTGTCCATTTAATTGGCAGAATGGAGGCTAATGAGGTGGTGTTAATGTAGGTTCCCATGGTCCGGTGTCCACATGTGAAAACAAACACCACTGATCTTAGGCAAATGAATGTAGAACCATGTTGTCAATGCTGCCTTAATATAGTACTAATCATTAGTGCTAACAGGTAAAAGAATTTTATTTTTTTTACAGAAGAATACACTGAAATAAATTAACTTTTTTCTGCTATAGAATCACAAGAAAACTTCAAATTGCCAGTTCAGTAACCACCCCCCTTCGTAACAACAGTAGTTTTTGCACTCTTCATTTTAACAGGCATGAAAGCAGGCTACTTAACTACAGCAGTGTTATATTTAGACTCTTCTGATGGCTTCTGGAAAAAGATTTATGCTCATTTGGCTGATGTGGTGAACTCCTACAAGAGACTTCACTGCATATATACATTTGCTTTTAGGAGTTTTCTAGGAATTCCCTTTAATAGATAATGCTTTTTTTACATATGTGCCCAGGGCATCCTTGGTAAAACAGCCCCATTGATATCAACGGTAAAAGCTAGCTGACCTTATCAGATGATAACTTAATCCTGTTGTTCATATCTTACTCTTCACTTCTTACTCTGTTCATATCTGGGCTATTCCATCTATTTTTAAGACCCATGTCAGCTTTACAACTTTGTATTCCACAAGTGGCCTCTGCCCTTGGATAACTTTTGGATACACAAAATGAGAGGCATCACAGGGGTTACCAGAACTATAATTATGTGGAGCTACTGCCTGGAACCACTTTTAACGAGTTTAAAGACAGACAAGGACCATTTTCCAGTCTGGAACACAGGCTATAATATCTCTTTATAACCTGCCTGTGGAGAGGAGCCCCAGAAGATTTTTGTCACCTTAACCTCTGCTCTCTAAACGCTATGGGCCATCTGTTATTTACAACGCATCTTTGCAGATACCTCATTCTACGAACAAAGCAGAATGGGCTCAGTTAAAAACCTTTGACTAAATGCTCAAATGAAGATTGCAATCTTCCTCTCCCATACATGCATACTTTATGAATTTCTTTTTAATTCAGAGTAGTGCCTTTTCAAATACATCAGAACATGCATTATTTTAAATGAATACCATTTTCTTTAAAAGAAGAGTGTAAAACAAAAGAAAATATCCAACTTTTGATATAAAACTTTTAATCTTCCCTTAGGCTCTCCTGAAATGTAATCATTTTATTTCAAACTGAGAGGAAGAGCTGAAGTCTAAATTATATCCTGTCTAACAATTGACTTCACTATGTGGGCCCAGCACATCATCTAAAGAGGGCTTTAAAAACCACCTGCTAATAGCTGAAAACAAGGTTACGTTGGAGACTGTGATTGGGCTAACTTGGGGGATTAGGTTTAAGTATCTTAAAAAGAAAGCTATTAGAATATAATCATGAGACTACAGCTTTATTTCTCTTGCTCTGCTGCCAGTACTTTGTCTTGAGGTTCTTGCATAAAGATTCCCTTTCGTCTCTGAAAAAGCACATGAACTGAAAGAGCATTTGCCTGTAAAGAAGGGATGTCAGGGACTAAGAAATCCACCAGTTTCCCATCATTAAACTTGTTTTAACAAATTTACCCATGGTGAAGAAGGGAGGCAATACAGCTTGCTAAATAGATTTCTAAAAGTGGAATTTGTCTCGGTCATATTTGTGGCTGAATATACAGGCAGTCACGGACTGTGCAGCCCAGCGAGTCCTTACTTGCACAGCCATAGGCAGGCAGGACGACTACACCAAATGGGACCCTCAAAACATCAGTTCTCTGGAGAAATGGCCCCCAAACCATTACCAGCCTGTACATTCATCCCTTCAGACTGAAGATGCATTTCTGTAAGTGGGTGAGGTAATTTAGCATGTCTGAAATCAGAAAGCATTACCTCACAGAGATCAAGAAAATTTAGTCTTGAGGCTAGAAGAAGGATGTCTGAAACATCCCAACCTGGGACCTAGTGGAGACCTGAAGACGGCAGTCGGTCCTTCCTGGAGCTGAGCTGCAGTGGGAAGCTGAGCTCTCCCCCAGTACATCCCTGCCCCTCTGCTTCAGGCACGTTTTCTTATTCTTTTGTTGCTGCACAAATATGAGCTTACTGAATTAAAATAATTCTTCCCATGCCATATATTTCATGCTAAACTATAAATGACAAGATACTTCCTTGAGAAATTGATTATATTTACACTGAATTCTTGTAAATCAAATTAGATTATATGGGAACAATCCATAGTGGCAGTGTTGTCAACCATTAAACCATATTTTATTCTGTTGTTTAGTGCCCTCTTCACCTTTACCTAATCTGAACCATGCAATGTGTGAGTCACTGTCTTGTTCCTCTGGATTTATCAATTCCATTTTTGATCTCAGATATGCAGTGAACTATTGTAAGACCTGATTAAGTAAGATACAGAAAAGAAAGAGTGCAATTTGTATTGTCCTAGACAAGAACTGAACACTGTAATTACTAACTGAACCTTCAATAGAAGTAGCCTGGACAAAATTCTTCCCTTTGATCTGTTTTGCAAGCCTCCTAATTCAGAATCATCTCTCTTGGAAAGGAGAAAGCTGATCTGGCAACATTTTGATGCACCAACATACTGATCTTTTTTCAAAGCAAACAGACCTTAGATCCAAATTATTCATTTGTTTTGTTGTTGTTGTGTTTTTGTTGGCTGTTCCAAAATAGAATGGCTAGAGACAAGAAAAAAGATTTGGGGCCATTTTATATATTTGAAATTACAAACAAATATAAATTGAATGGTTGCAAACACATACAAGAAAAATACAAAATACTGGGAAAATAAAATTTTCATTGGCTGAAATTATGAATGGTAATAAACCATAGAAACAGACTACATTTCACACATTCCAACGTGGGATTTTTGGATATCAGTTCAACAGATGGTTATGCCTTCTTTTTCAGTCTTGTACTTCTTGACTTTTTTATTGCTATGTTTAGGTGTGCACATCAATAAGAATAAGAAAACTGTCCTGGTGGTGCTCATTGCTCCTTTTAATTTCTTATGATATGGATCTATGACCACATCCTCTCTGTAGAGCTGTTGATCTTACTGTAGCAGCTAGAGGAAGGTCTCTCTACTTTCAAGGAGGGAGACAAGGAGGAGGAAGGGTACACTCCCTTTCTCTTTTTAGGTTGGATCTTAGCCTAGTCCCTGCCTCCACACTGGGCTACAGTGTGTTCTCTGTATATACCCTACTTAGATGGCAAATGGTAATTTTTCCAGATTTAGTCATAACACAATTAAACCAGTTGTTGGAATCACAAAACTACCTTAAAATTGTACCTTCTAGTAAAATAAAAAAGTGCAATATAATAACCAGATATTTCTTATTAATATTAAACTTCATAAATGCAGAAAAGAGCCAGAAAATATTTAGGGAATTGATGTCCGAGACAAAAGCTCAAAATACACTGTGAAAGGGGAGGTCAAAAAATCCTTTTGGTCACCTATGAATTTCAAGGGCTGAATGATGTGGTAATTACCATCAATAATGCTTTTGACAGGATACCAAGTTGACTGTACACTTACATTTTCTCAATTCACTTTAACAGAGATCATTACATTCTTTTTTCACAAAATATAATTTAAAAAATGATGCTAGAAGGCTGTTGTGTGCCGAATGCAGGGTTGCTGCTCCCAGCAGAATGACAAATCATGCTGCTTGCTGGGGTTTGGCTGTGGGACGTCAGAAACCGCTCAGCATTCATATCCCAGCCAAATATCAGCACATTTCAAATCCTTTTTCTGAAATTACCATTTCAGTTTCCTTCCCATGCAAACAGGTCAGTTTTCCTTCATGTTTTCTAACTAACGTAGCATCATGGCCTCACTATGGACAGCATCACCACAACACCTGCTAATACATCAGTTTTTCTGAAAGATATTGTACCACAAATCTGTGATGCAGGCAATGGCTGTTTGTATCTCACTGCCAAAGGTTAAAAATTTGAAAGGCATTAGAATTTGGTATAACCACAAAGATGTTCTTTGTAGTGTCAAGTTTATAAAATCACATGTATAGCAAGCAGAAAGAATATACCCAATTACATTTATTTCATTCATCTGCCGGTGCAAGACTGTAGCATAACAGTGCTTTGAGCTGTCAAAATCTAGAACATTGAGCAAAGAGTTATCAATTATCTCTATTTTTGAGAGTATTAACTGTTTACATTTTTATGATTTCTAGTGTTTTGTGGATTTTGGATTTTTCTTCCCCTCTAAGCTATCTTAAAATATAATTTCAATTTTGGTCCTAGATTTGGTGAATCTTGCACTTCATATAAACCTCAGGCAGTCTCTCTCTGTTTTATTGAGGAGACTGGATTCGTCCTGGATCCATCCTCTGATACACCAGAAGGTTGTGCTGCCATCCAGAGGGACCTCCACAGGCTGAAGACGTGGGCTGACAGGGACCTCATGAAGTTCAACAAGGGGAAGTGCAAAGTCCTCTCCTTGGGGAGGAACAACCCGAGGCACCAGTACACACTGGGGGCCAACTGGCTGGAAAGCAGCTTTGCAGAAAAGGACCTGGGGATCCTGGAGGACACTAAATTGAACATGAGCCAGCAATGTGGAAAAGAAGGCTAATGGTATCCTGGGCTGCATTAGATGAAATATTGCCAGCAGGTCAAGCGTGGGTAATCCTCCCCCTCTACTCAGCACTGGTGAGGCCATACCTGGAATGCTGGGTCCAGTGCTGGGTTCCTCAGTACAAGAGAGACATACTGGAAAGAGTCCAACAAAGGGCCACAAGGATGAGGAAGGGTCTGGAGCATCTCTCCTATATGGAAAGGTTGAGAGAGCTCAGACTGTT